AACCGCTGAGCCATCTCTCCAGGTCTGCTTTTGTACATTTTAAACAACAGTTCTTAATCAAATTTAGACCCTTCCCCCATCCATACCCTTCCCCCTCCCCCACCAGACCTCATGTATTCTGCCGCCATCCATACCTGTTAAGTCCTATCTGTTTAAGTATTTGTACCCAGATGCCTGTCAGTGAAAGTTCATCCACTGGAGTCTAGTCAGTCTATCTAGAGCTCTTAACTAAGGTCTCCTTTCCCTCACCCAGCAACCACACAGTTATTAGTTTCCAACAGTTCCCAGGCTAGGGTCAGCCTGCCTCCCATTTCCCATGCTCCACTCTGGGCCCTTGTCTGATTGGGTTGTCATGGGTCTTGTGCTCAACACCACAAGTTCACATGAGCAAACTTCCAGTGGCCTGAAGGCCTCTGTTTCCCTATGTTCAAGAACAGACCATGGCTCTTACAATCTTTTTGCCCCCTATTCTGCAATGCTCTTTGAGCTGTGGGTGAGTGAGGTTTAGTACAGGAGTGCTGTTCAGGTACACACACTCCGCAGTCTCTTAGTCTCTAAAATTTAGCAAGTTGCGACCTTCTGTGTGCATCATGCTCGCTTGTATAAGGAAGCTTTGCTGGTGAGAGTTGAGAGATGAACTAGTATTCTTTCCACCCCTGTTCTACTATGTTCCATGAGCTTTAGATATAGAGGTCCCACTGTAGATACATCAACCTGGGGTGGGCATCTCTCAGATATATAGTCTCTGTGTGCAATCAGTTGTGGAAGTCTTGAATAAGAATATCTCCCTCTTGCCTGCCTAAATTCTAAACATGTTGAGAAACAGACATCAAAGATGTAGGTAAAAACAAATTCTTTCTGGAAAAAGAGGTCGTGGCTGAGCCCAGTCTCCCTTTGACAGACAAGTTGCACCATGGATTCCCAGACAGGTATGTCAGGCCCCACTGAACCAGGGCTGCCCCTGGCAAAGCAGAAGAGGATGTGGTATGTCAGCTGGGTCTTAGAAAGGATGAAGAGACAGATACCGCACTTGTAAGCCTCCTGTTCTTTCTGACTTTACAGCCACACACATCATTATCCTTCACATGAAGGATGAGCTAAAGGGTGGAGAGAGGCCTGGAATCCTGAGGAAACCCTCACAGGAGGCAGGAACAAGCTAATGACAGTCTGCCTACAGATGAAGAAAAAAATAATCGAATCTGCCTGAGATGCCAAACTTGTAGAAAGAGACAAGGACTAGATGATTTTTCGAGTTTTTTAAAAAACATTTTTGATTGCTGTAGTTCTGAGCCTATGAATATCCAAAGGGATTGCAGAATGAGGACTGATTGCCTACTGCTAAGAATGAGGGGTTCCATGTCTGCCTTCCCAAAGGTCTGTTTTAATAATTACATCCATTACTTATTCTTGGTAGCTTAACTTGCAAGACATGAATTCTACGAAATGTGTGATTTATAGGTCAGCGGGAACTGTGAGAAATATATACACATTTTGCAAGCAAAATTCTGGCTCTAGGTCTGTTTCAACTTGTACTGTTTGCCATCATCAGTAGCACGATGCTAAGATTACTATTTAGAGAAGAGGATACGTGCTAATTTTAGGTACTCCTTTGGCTCAAACTACTCTCAGGCATTCATTCTTTTATTCATTCATTAATTCATTTCTTCACAAAAATTGATCCACTTCAGCTTCTGCTATAGAGACTATAATGAAAAGAACAGATTGATTTCTTGCCCTCATTAAAGCTTATGTGCTACTAGAGAAGCATACAAAAATAAACATGTAACTAAAGTTTCTAGGATGTCAAAAGTTGGTAAGATTTGTAGACAAAGTAAAAACATGGAAGGGGAAACTGGAAAAGAGATCCGACATTCATTGAAATGGTTCTTGAAAAGGTAGGAGTTTCTAGATTGTTATGAAAGTGTAGGGTTTGCTTTCAGGTATGATGACTGACAGTTCATCCAAAGAACCAAGACATAGGTGGACTACAATGCCACTGGGTTTGGGAAAAACCCACTGCCGCTTTGTGATACCGAATCAGAGTGACCAATAGTATGGTTTTATGGTGGACCCAGCCCTCTTTGCTTATTGAGCTTAGGGCCCACTGAAACTTCTCATATCTAATGCTTTGACCCCTCAGCCATCATCTCTTAACAGGTGTATAGTTTCTAACTTATAAAATTGTAGATCATATTCTCTTAATGAGTAAGTAACCTACATTTACATTTGTAGTGGCTAGTATTCACTGAATTGCTGGCTGATGTCATGGGAGCCTCTTGACAAATATCTGAATTTGAGCTCCTGCTAACCATCTGTTGACAACCAAGCAAAGGAATAAATAAAGAACTTGATCAAGGTGATAGGTTGATTCAGCATGTTGCTTTTGTAAAAACTGAAGTGCAGTCCTGATAGTACACAGTACTGCTCTGTGGAAATATCTGTCAAAGGCATGCTTCTTCAAGTCAATCTCCAAACCAGAATTTAAAACTTTTTTTTTTTTCACGGAAGTTACTGAGGCTACATTGTTCCTTCATAGGTCAGATCTTCAGTTAGAAATTGACAGCAAGATGTTCCATCTGTTCTGAAGTGGATGAGAATATGGAATGTTCTTTCAGAGTCAAAGTGATCAGAACTGAAAATTTCCTTAGGTTCCTTGCTTGCTGTGTTAGAGATAGCTCTGCTTTCTTGTTTCTAGAGTGGGGTAATAATACATGAATGCTGCATTAGAGATGATGTATTTTCAAGCTCAAATCACAGGGAATTCTGTTGTCAGCTCCAGGGTCTTAGGGGTTGCTGAGTGCATCTTTTCCCTAGCTACATTTTCCCAACAGGAAAATGGTAGATTCAAGGTTTCATTTCAGAACATTCTATGTGTACATTTAAAAATTATTTATTATTTAGTATTAGGGAAAGAAGTTTTATGTACCATCCTTATTTTAAACAAAAATTCCGAACACATTGTCTGACAGTGGAAAAATGGAATTGTCTCAGAGGTCAAGGATGTATGGCTTGCTGTCTGCACAAGGCTCTGAGTATCCTCTTGGGTATGGAGGGGGCTCTGTGCATTCTAAGTGTTCTGACTCTCCAGTCTTTTAATCCAGGCACCAGCGTATTGTCTAGACTTTCTTGTACAAATTGCATTCAGAGGAGATGGGAAATCCATATATTACATTTAAATATTTCTCTCTCTTCCCCTTGAAGCAGTAAAGTGATGTTGGAGAAAGAGTTATAACAGACTGGTGCAGTGAGATGCTCATGAGCCCTTTAGCAGAAGTAGTAGTCAATATGAGTTAGCAGCATAGACAGAGCAAAAGTTTTCTGGTTATCTGAAATCTAAACTAATACTTGTTAACAAATCTGCCTGGCTGTAGATCCTGATACATAGGAAATCTTTTGTTAGGTGATATTGGAAGTATCAAATGAATAAGGAGCAGCTTCTTTGGGGTAGGGTTTCTCCAGCCACATTCAAGGGCTTGATTCATGACACTGACATCACTCTGCCCCTGTAACTCTTGTTTTCATTCCTTAAATGACTAGCCCTTTTCTTATCCAGAATTTACAAAAGCATTCACTGTGAGCTTGGCTGTAAGGAGGGCGAGCTTCATGCCTTTGCTCACTCAGGTGCTGGTCTGGGCTCTCAGCAGCAGAGCCAGCTCTCACTCTGCTCTATACAGTGTTCACTTGTCCTCTGCATAGGGAATTCTTGAAGGAGTGCAGCTTGCTCTATGCATGTAACCAAGAGTAGCATTTTGTTTAAATGCATTGGTCTTTGTAGGTACACAAGGAGTTTCCAAGTTACAAAATGTCTTATCTGTCTTCTGGTACTTTACACATTACTTGAGAGCACAGTGATTCTGTAAAGATGCTGCAAGTGCACACATCATTGATTCATTTGTGGATCTTATGCTCCAAGTACTTTAATGGATGATGAATATGCAATTTCTATAGCTGAGTATTGTTTATGAATCATGTGCTTTTGTCAGGTCACATGGACACCTTACAAAACTAGTTTGGGGTTACAATCCTGAACATTTAAATTCATAGTCATAGGTTTTACTTCCCATGTTTTCTTCTTTCATGCTCCCTGTCCTCCCTGCCTCCTTCTCTAATATCTACTGTCCTTTTGTCTTTCCCAAGGAGGGACTAAACTAGTGGAACAGTCTCAACTGTGAAGTTCAATTTAGCATGTAAACAGCCACTCACCCACATTGTAAGGTGGATTCCAAATACATATTCCAATGGATACCTATTCCATGTAAGGAATACAGTGCAAAATGAGAATGCCATGATCTCGTGACTGTATATCTTCAGTGTATAGATTATTGCTGCTTCTTTTTGCCCATTGTCTTAGTCTTTTTTTTTCCTAAAGAAGTCAGGATTGAGAGCATGTGTAGTATAGCAGAAGGAGTATGTAGACTTTGGAGTATAGTTTGGACTTATAGCCAAACTTTGCAGTTGGCTGACTTTGGACTCAGACCCTTTCTGAATTGTTTCTTCACCAGTGATGTAGGATTGTCAGGGATGTTATATTGAAAAATATACACAAACAATAATGCTATAAACTAGAGTGTAAACTCCAGGATTGTAGTAGAATCAGTGTAAGAAGGAGGGTATTGAATGTGGTATAAATTCTGCAGGAGAAAAAAAATGAAAACAATTTTTTAATGGAATAATAACTTTGTTAAAGCTTCTTAGAAGGTGTGATTTATGGGAATACTGAGTTATTTCTGGGTACATGCAAATTTTAAATGAGCCAGATATACTTTATATAGAAATTCTTAAATGAATAAATGAGGTACAAATATTCAAATGTTAATATTTTTTTAAAAAATTAAAACAATTCATTGCATTGCTTGAGTGCATTTGAGAAATGAATTAAGTTCTCAAAATGTATTATTTGTGATCTGGCTTAGTAATATATTTATTATGCAAGTGAGGTAAGTTTTGTGCTGTGTTCTCCTGCTGCCTGATAGTCTACAATTCTCTTTTTTACCCCACAGATTTACCAATAAAGACATATAGAGAGTATGAGCTGGTGACACCAGTTAGCACAAACCTAGAAGGACACTATATTTCTCATATTCTTTCTGCAAGTCACAAAAAGAGGTCCACGAGGGACGTGGCTTCCAACCCTGAGCAGCTGTTCTTTAACATCACAGCATTTGGAAGAGATTTTCATCTTCGACTAAAGCCCAACATTCAACTCATAGCTCCTGGGGCTGTTGTGGAATGGCATGAGGCATCTCCAATGCCTGGGAATATAAGTGGCCCCCAGAGTGGTGATGGACACGGAAGTGCTTCAGAAGGGACCTGGAGAAGAGAACCTTTGCAGACTAACTGTGCTTATGTTGGTGACATCATGGACATTCCAGGAACTTCTGTTGCCATTAGCAACTGTGATGGACTGGTAAGACTCATTTCATTTTGCACGTGCGTGTGTGTGTGTGTGTGTGTGTGTACATACACGTATGCAGGTGTTAGAGTTCAGTGTGTCTTCAGCTTTGCAAGGTAAAGGTGGAAAGGAAGCCTCATCGTTATGCCAAGTTCAGGAGAAAGCGTGAGAAAGCATTTGATTGTCCTAGATATGGGCTTTGCTTTAGTTTGAGATGTGAAAACATTATTTCAATAAACAAAAGACAATTATTTTAGCATTTTTGTATTTTCCTTTGTATTATATTGGAGCATTTCATTTCTTTATTCTTGTAATGCTTTCTGAAATCTTCCTAAAGTGACATAGAGCATATCTCTCTTGTTATAAGGAAATTTTGGCTGTCTTCTTAAAGTATTTTGAAAGTATTCTTTAGCTGACACAAGAAATGACCATATCCTTCATCAGCATTTGCCATGCTAACATAGCTTCAGGAAAATGAGATCTATTTTCTCTGTAGTGCCTTTGGTCGGTTGAACATTTGTTTTCACATAAAAACCCTTATTGTGCTTTTCAGCCTTGAGATGAAGGTGGCCAAAACTTCTTTACATATTCTAGGATGTGAAGTACTTTTTTGTTTGATTTGTACCTCTAGATGTTGTTTTGCAGTCTTGCACTGACAGTTGGTGTTCTGTAGAACTTTATAAAATCACTGTGTGAAACAGTGTGACAGGTCAACTCTCCAATATGAACTCCCTTAATTTAGGATTTATACCATTATACTTGGAGGGGGACCATTTTCTGGTTTTGAAGACGTAAGAGATCTCTTAAATTCTTCTCATTCTGAATAAAAGGCTGAATATACATAAATTGTCATTAAGATTCACCATCTAGGAAAGAAGATGAAGTTTAGATTCATGTGTTGAGGAAAGATTTTAGATTCAAACCTAACATATAAAAGGGAATGTATTTTAAAGATGGTAACTTTTTATAACAATTTTGAGTAAAATATCTTGAGTTATCAACCCCAATTTGGTGTTATTTTTTAAAAAA